TGAAGAGATAAAAAGCAGCATTTACTCTTAAGGAAGGATTACTAGAGGACAAGTAAAAGGTACCAATATCAAGTTATTAACCTTATTTTACTGCACTTACTTGAAAGATTGACTGAAAGATTTATAACTCTTAAATCATTTAAACAGACAGGATTGCATTTTTGTCTGCATATTGTTAAACAATATACAAGTTTAATTGTGACAACAGAGCATACACTAGCCAGTGAATGAAACTGAAGACATTGAAGATCTTCATTTTATTTTTTTAAATAAATAAATGACTGATTATTCAACAGTAAAGACATTTATGATTTCAAATAAATACTATTCTATTGGTCTTCCTATTCATCAACAAATTCTGACAAAAAAGTACCACAGTTTCAACAAAAATACCAAGCAGCCCAACCATTAAAGCCTGATAATAATAAATGTTTCTTGAGCCCATATCAGCAAATTAGAATTATTACTTTCGAAGACATTAAAACTATCTTTTGAAAGACAGACCAGAAATATGTTGTGAAACAGAATTACAAAATCTTCATTGTCAACAACAAACTATATGTACAACTAAAATCTATCAAAAGCTATTTAGAAACCAATCTAAAAGGTCACAGTAACCCATCTACAATATAGTGAGCAATTCTCTATGCTAGAGATGTTTGGTAGGCTTGGAGCAATGGTAAAGGGGGTAGATTAGATTTGCAAACAGTTCTAACCAAGCAGCAAAGTGGAAGTCCCTGTGGATTAGCCCCGTACAAAATAAACTATCATAGGTTTATTGTGGTCTAAGAGGTCACAGACTTCTTGAGGAGCGCAACTGGAATATCAGAAGCCAACAAGGAAGAATTTAAAAATTGTCTGCTGTTGAAATGATGGGTGAATGCATCCAATACATGATGTTTGAAAAGGGAAAGGGCTCCCTTGTTTCAGATACGCCAAACAGAGATTTCATTTCTGACAGTGATATTTGTAGGTTGCTGACAATCCTTTTCACTAGAGCATAATAATGTCTTTGTCAGAGTCTTTTAGAGGCTGTGCATGGCAATGATGCCAACCTGGAAGAATGAGCATGCCAACACACACAATGCACATGGTATACTGCAGTGTTTCTGACTAAAAGCCTTCTGTTAAAGCTTAATTTAAAATCTGCATTTAAAAAAAGAGAGAAAAAAAAGAAGAAATGAAATGAAAAAATGAAAATGCTACAAGAAAAACTATTAATTGGTTAACTACAAGTATTTAATACATGTACCGTTACAGTAAAATACTTGGGAGTAACCTTATAATTTACACTGAAAATAAATAACAGGACATTCAGAAGTCACATCTGATCATTTTTAAGTTTGATTTTTTACCTTCTGTTAAAGCTTAATTTAAAATCTGCATTTAAAAAAAGAGAGAAAAAAAAAAAGAAATGAAATGAAAAAATGAAAATGCTACAAGAAAGACTATTAATTGGTTAACTACAAGTATTTAATACATGTACCGTTACAGTAAAATACTTGGGAGAAACCTCATAATTTACACTGAAAATAAATAACAGGACATTCAGAAGTCACATCTGATCATTTTTAAGTTAGATTTTTTTCTTATTTACATTAAGGCGTGTTACATTTTATGTTGTTTTGTGAATGTTTATGCAATTACTTCAGTGTCACGTCACGTGAGTTGCCCTGGAGTTTTGCTTGTGTATGGCACTGTACACTGTCTAGTATTTGCCACGGTTTATTGATAGGTAACCTTGATTCATTATGTGGCCTTTTATTTGATCTGTACTATTATGGTGGTTTTCAGTCTAATTTAAGGTACAAAGCAGATTTTGTTACTACAACTGCATATGCCTGGATAATGACTTGATATATTCAGTAGTGAAAACATTAGAATCTCATGTTCAATGACTCAAACCACCAGCTTTAGGATATCAGTCATTTACACTGAGGTTATCATGAAAATCAGTTCATACTTCCTCAAATCTGCACAGGAAGGGCGACCATCATAATTACGTCCTGTCAAGTGACCTGAGGACTTGTAGCTACATCTGAAGAGTTTCGGAATTTGCTGGACTTCATGTATACGAGGCAATTTATTTTTTACTAGGGGAGAGTTGTAACAATCATTTTAACCTAACAGAAATGAGCTAAAGGGGTTATAAATATACATGTGTCTCATACACTTTTATACATGACCACTGTATCACACATGACTGAGGTCTGAGAGGTTAGTATATCAAAATTATTTTTTGAAAACTAAGTTTTAATATAATCTTCTTGCACAAATTGTCAAATGTCTATGTTTTCTATTAGTGTAACAAACCATCTTGCAGTCTTAACACCAGCACTCTTTGTACTTATTTAAACTACTTTAATTTGTAACAGACACATATTCTAACAAACAGTATGTGAAAGTTTGAGACACAAAAACACCAAGCTACAGACCTTGAAATAATTGTGTTAGATCACGGTTCTCCCCTACAGGTACTCAGTTATGAAAACCTACCCTAACCATGTAGCAAACAACAGACACAAGCAGACACAATTACAAACGGATAAAACAACTTAAACCTCAAACACACTGTGTAACGGGAACATTTAAGAACGCATTCTTCAAGACGCAAAAACATTTGCAAAAAAACAAATTGGTTGTAGCCTACTTTTTACATCAAGTAGCCTGTATCGAAAAGGGATCACAAAACATCGGGTTACTGAGTATGCTCGACACACAACATGAAAGAAGAAAACACTTTTGCCCACAAAGATGTGACCCTGTTAACCATTAAAATTACACTGTAGCTAATCTCTTATCTTGCAACAAGTAGCCTAACAAGAGTCGCACGCGCAATCCTCCACCGCTTTCATTCCTACGTTAATTCTGCAGCTCAGCTTCAATGTTTCCTATATCATCGTCAGCACTCATTTATTTAACCTGAGAGAAAAAAATGCATCAGCTTAACATATAGCCTACCACAGAAAGACAAGTGTTTGCTGACCTGTTGTAGGTGGATCAGGTTTCGCACGCGCCCTGTGAGCGATGTAAGTCTAGTTTATAAGCATGCGGCCGGCGGTTTTTAAAAAGGAACAATGAATTACCTTTTTTCCAAAGAAGTTTGTTTATACGTCCCTCTCCCGTCCCTGCGCTCCCTTTGTAAAAGTCCCGGTGAAGTGTCCTCTTCGCTCATGCGCACAAGAGCAGCACGAATCGCTTAACTAACTCGACCCGAGACACGATACACGTTCCCTGACGCGAGACTGAGAGCGTGACTTGCACATAACCGAGTACACAAAGGCAGGTGCTCCTCTCACTGCACGATACCAGCAGAGCCACTGGAAGCCACCCACATGTTAGATGTTTCAATTAAAGGATTAGAACGCTTTTTAATTTAAGTTGAATTGGTTATGCTAAAGCTGGATCTCTAGATCTCTTCTGGGGCATTTTCACTTTTTCCTCAAAGCTAACAATAGGCTATACGAACTCTGAAAAGTCGTGACTTTAATGTTGGTTTTACTAAGCCTTAAATGGGATCCAAAACTTTAACTTGAACGTTCTCACTAATACTAGTAGCCTACTGTTTTGAAACTTACTGGGATTTTGAATGATAATGTGTGGCTGAACAAGATATCAGGCAGGAGCCTTGATTGCAGAGATACAGTCATTGTCAAAAGTTGACATGCACCTTGCCGAATCTATAAAATATTAATAATAATTATTAATAATTAACAAAATAAGAGGGATCATAACATTGCCTTTTGTTGTTGTTGTTTTTTATCTAGACCAGACTGCTCTCCTGAAAAAGCACTTTTGCATAAGACATTTGAATTACAGAATAACAAAATGCCCTGTTTAAAATGGACATATAGATTAATTCTGATTGGTACGTGTCATTATCTGGATCATCCACTTTCTTTCATCTTTTTTTTATGATGCGGCTAATCTTGGAGGGTTGAGGTGGGATGTGTGGCTTCATGTAGGCCATTAACATTTTATACAGTATGAGAGAATTTCTGAAAATATTAAAAAGTCTAACAGCATTTTGGATGCTTTCAAACAAACTTGCCAACAGCCACGAGTTCTGTATCTTGCTCTTTACTAATACATTTTTAATGGGCAAATAGCATATATTGCTGTGATTTTAATGTCTATAAAGTCTATTTTAATGTCTATGTTTTTAATTATTTAAAGTTTATGCTGAAATTGGATCATTTATGCTTCTCTGCGAGGAAAGAGTGGCTATTTGAATTCAGAATAATTAATCAGGGCTGACCTCTACTGGTTACTTTAGTTCAGTATGGAGTCACAATTTAAAAAAAAGAAGAAGCATAAATTCAAGAAGTACAAGACTGACTGAGTATCTGAAACAGCTATCCTTACAAAACACCCATTACTGCATATTTCTCATTATGAGGCAAATGCTGATTATTTACTGCTTAAATGTTTTTGCAATGATAATTTCCTATAGCCATGTAGCTCTGATTGTAAAGCATACATGAGTATGTTTGCAAATGTTTTGTGTCTTAAGGGGAACCACTCTAATTGTGTGTTGACCTTTATTTTAAGCTTATGAGGAGAACTGTAAAACATCTGAAATATAGAGGTAAAAGTGCCCAAAGCCTCTCTAAAAAGTAAAAACCAGCCAACAAACCAGCCCGACTACAAGCTAAAACCAACAAACATGGCAGACTGAAGAATGTACTTGCATTTAGTTGACAACTCTGTGGAAAATCATCAACTCTTTTTAGACCGCTCAAATGCAAAAAAATTGGTCAGAAATATTTCAGCTGAGATTAAACGAGTTAACAGAAGTGCCTCCATTCATCCTAAACTGCTTCCACTCGTTGTGTAGTAGTAACTCGGCTCTTCACTGGGTCAGACGGTAGACTCATGATCATGATGACACAAGCGCAGACCATGCACAAGGGGGGCTTTCTTTCACGCCCCCGTTTCCACAATGCATTATTGTTTTGAAACTTCCACGCAGTCAGTCAGTCACACCTCTGAGTCTCTGGCTGTGCACTTCTCATTGGTTTAGCTCTCCATGCACCGCAGGAGCATTTCCGCCTTCATATTTTTGTTTCCGCGCAAGAGCTGCACGAATTAGACATATTATTGAACAGCGAGATTTTTTATAATTTTTTTTACATCAGCAAGAATCTTGAAATCTGCAGTCATGTCAGACCGGGGGTCTATCGACACTAATGTTGTGACTTTGACGACATTTCTGCTTGAAGAGGGCAGAAAAGCCAAAGGCACGGGTGAGCTGACGACCCTGCTGAACGCGATGTGCACGGCTGTGAAAGCCATCTCCAGCGCTGTCAGGAAAGCAGGTATCGCGCACCTGTGAGTATGTTATAGCCTACACAGTCGACTGCGACTCCAAAAAGTTTAGGATGCAAAAACATCTATTTGTTTTATTTTTAATATAAAAACATAAGAAGCATGCAAGAAAATGTCCAGGTCAAAATGAAAAAAGTTATCAATAAAGAAATATTTTGGCTTTTTCTTTTTTTGCGTAATAAAAATGTATACATCATGGTTGCATTTACTGTAATTTTGTGTTTTATCGTTTTTTTATTTAAAAAAATAATGTATAACAGCGTTGTTTTACTGTAGTAAAAATAATGTATCACGATAATGAGAATCATAATTGAAAATGAGATAATCATAATCTAATGAGAATTATAGGCAAATTATGCTAAATTTTCCTGAATATAATGTCACAACGTATCATGTGGGTTCTCAGTGTAAATTTCTTTTCTTTCTGCAAAATATAATTTCTTCTTTCTTTTATTTTTGAGTGAAATATGACCTGGACATTTAAACCTTGACAGTTTTACACATTTTGATGAAAAATTTGGTTTTCTTGCACAATTGCTCATTTAGAATTGCTAGATCATGCTGATTTAAAAAAAATTTTTTTTTTTACAAATTTGTGGTTAGCTTCGGTTTTGAAACTGAACCATGTTGACATTGTAGTGTTGGGAAATACCAGCAAGAAAAAAAAACTGGTTGGTATCTCTAGAGCCTCTTTATATTACAAGTTTGGAAATCTTTCAGTATATATCCATAGGTTATTTATGCAAAAAGTGCTGTAAGTTGTACTATGTTATATTACTTTCTATTACATATATTGCAGTTCTATGAACAAGCATTGAGAAACGGTACCTAAAAAATCCTTTCAGTCCCTCTGATCTGATTCAACTCATGACTTTGGAAAATGTCTGACAGGTACGGCATTGCTGGAAGTACCAATGTGACCGGTGACCAGGTTAAGAAGCTGGACATCCTTTCCAATGACCTTGTCATAAACATGATCAAATCCTCATTCACCTCATGTGTGCTGGTCACTGAGGAACATGAAAGCGCAATCATTGTGGAGCCAGATAGACGGGTAAGAACTGCACGAGTAAGACATTATACACGCTGTCTGAAGAATAACTATACTTTAAGTGTTTAATCACTCCAAACTATTTAATCAAGATATGTTTTGTTTAAAGTGTTTGCCAAAACTTGCCAATGAGTTTACAGTAGCTTTTCACGTTTGATTGCAAGAATGGCAGAGTGTGGGTTCTGCGCAGAGCATGGAGAGCTAGTCACGTGACTCCAACTTATTTTGACAGCTAAGATTAGGTCTTAACTTGTGCATAGTAGTGAAAACATTAGAATCTCATGTTCAATGACTCAAACCACCAGCTTTAGGATATCAGTCATTTACACTTGAGGTTATCATGAAAATCAGTTCATACTTCCTCAAATCTGCACAGGAAGGGCGACCATCATAATTACGTCCTGTCAAGTGACCTGAGGACTTGTAGCTACATCTGAAGAGTTTCGGAATTTGCTGGACTTCATGTATACGAGGCAATTTATTTTTTACTAGGGGAGAGTTGTAACAATCTAATGACTTGATATATTCAGTAGTGAAAACATTAGAATCTCATGTTCAATGACTCAAACCACCAGCTTTAGGATATCAGTCATTTACACTGAGGTTATCATGAAAATCAGTTCATACTTCCTCAAATCTGCACAGGAAGGGCGACCATCATAATTACGTCCTGTCAAGTGACCTGAGGACTTGTAGCTACAGCTGAAGAGTTTCGGAATTTGCTGGACTTCATGTATACGAGGCAATTTATTTTTTACTAGGGGAGAGTTGTAACAATAATTTTAACCTAACAGAAATGAGCTAAAGGGTTATTTATGCAAAAAGTGCTGTAAGTTGTACTATGTTATATTACTTTCTATTACATATATTGCAGTTCTATGAACAAGCATTGAGAAACGGTACCTAAAAAATCCTTTCAGTCCCTCTGATCTGATTCAACTCATGACTTTGGAAAATGTCTGACAGGTACGGCATTGCTGGAAGTACCAATGTGACCGGTGACCAGGTTAAGAAGCTGGACATCCTTTCCAATGACCTTGTCATAAACATGATCAAATCCTCATTCACCTCATGTGTGCTGGTCACTGAGGAACATGAAAGCGCAATCATTGTGGAGCCAGATAGACGGGTAAGAACTGCACGAGTAAGACATTATACACGCTGTCTGAAGAATAACTATACTTTAAGTGTTTAATCACTCCAAACTATTTAATCAAGATATGTTTTGTTTAAAGTGTTTGCCAAAACTTGCCAATGAGTTTACAGTAGCTTTTCACGTTTGATTGCAAGAATGGCAGAGTGTGGGTTCTGCGCAGAGCATGGAGAGCTAGTCACGTGACTCCAACTTATTTTGACAGCTAAGATTAGGTCTTAACTTGTGCATATAGTGAAATTCAGAACTTTGTCTGCATTGTTGGCCAGAAACCCATACTGAATCTAATCTGACATCTGTGGAAAGGACACTGAGAGACATGTGCTAAGATGTATTATGAATAGTCAGAAAAAAATGGGAAATCAAGGACGTTTTAAAGGCCTTTCCATCCTGAATATTACACAGAAGTTAATAAAAACTAAAAAATCCATGGAAATTTAATTTTGAATAAAAAGGTTTCTTAGTTCTCAACTCAAGAAAACATTCTATAAAATGATTACAAAATCCTTGTCAAGTAATCATGAATGACTGATAAAGTCTTGGAAATATATTAATCAAAAGCTTTGGAAACGCTCTATAACTTAAAATCAGACATAAGTCAGGCATAAATATATCTTGTTTTAAGGATGAGTGATGATTCAATAAGGAGTTGAGTGTAGTAAGGTTGTGGAAAGGTCAAATGTCCTCATATTATTGAGCAACATCATCATTAATCATTAAATGACTATGACAAGATGCACTACTTTAGTAATATTTATTTAACCGAATCCTCTTCCATGTGTTTAAGGGTAAATACGTTGTTTGCTTTGACCCTCTTGATGGTTCATCCAACATTGACTGTCTTGCTTCGATCGGGACCATCTTTGCCATCTACAGGAAGGTATGACGGCATATATTTAATAGATTTGCAGAAATACATTGCTGAAATAATTGATGTGTTCACAGTGCACAGACAGCGAGCCGTCTGAGAAGGATGCCCTGCAACCTGGCAGAAACCTAGTGGCTGCTGGATACGCTCTATACGGCAGTGCCACCATGATTGTCCTCTCCACTGGTCAGGGAGTCAACTGCTTCATGTTAGATCCAGTGAGTCCGTTTTACTCTTCATACACAGTTATCAATTGTAGGATCATTTAGCAATAAATCGGTCGGTACAGTTTATTCAGTCTACACAAAGCAAACAAAGAACTTAATTTTGTGTAGTAAATCATTTGTAGCATGAAATGACATGATTCATAAAGCTTGGAGACATTGTTCAAAACAGTGTAGTAGCTTTTTTATTTTAATGTCTTGCCCTAATTTATGAAGTATATTACAGTAAATGTGTCTTCTTTTTCCTCGTCTGCTTCTTAAGGACGAATCAGAGTTATTGCTGTGGTAAATGGCAGCATGTCCTGTCCATATGCAATAAGTTCTAAATAACCCCTGCATTAATTCATTTATCATGTTATTTATTGTAACATCAGGCTATTGGCGAGTTCATTTTGGTTGATAGAGATGTGAAGATTAAGAAGAAAGGCAAGATCTACAGTCTGAATGAAGGTTATGCCCTTTATTTTGATCCTGCTGTCACAGAGTACCTGCAGAAGAAAAAGTTTCCAGAGGTTCAGTATGCAATTAAATAAACCTTTTCATTTATAACAAATCAATTCATTATAAAAGCTGAACAAATGTACACATTTCGGATACACCTCAATCACATTTTTCATAATCAAAACCATGGTCCATCAAAAAAATTAATAATATTATAATATCCAGCTACTAGAGGACACATTTATAGTATAGCTATTAAAATGTGTTCAGGATGGCAGTGCACCCTATGGAGCGCGTTATGTAGGCTCAATGGTGGCAGATGTGCATCGAACGCTTGTTTACGGAGGAATCTTCCTTTACCCTGCAAATGTGAAGAGCCCCAAAGGAAAGGTACTTCATCTAAACATTGTTTACATTTACATGACTTTGCTTATGTATATATATATATATATGTATGTATGCATTGTCTAGGAGTATATGAGTATTGTTTAGGTCGATGGATCATTGCTCTTCAAAGATTTTTCATTGATAAAACTCTCAGCCCAAAAAGTAGAAAGTTGCTCTAAAATGTCTGAATGCATTTAATAAAATACCTTTCTGAGCCAATTTGCTGTTGGTTTTAACTAGTAAGTTCCAAGGGGTTCCTCTCAAGTACAGAGTAACCACAGCAGTTTGTCACATGATCCACTATGTTTGACTATATGTGCTAATTGATATTTACTGTTCATATATTCACTTAAAAGTGTCCATATCGTTTTAGGGACACTGTACTATTTAGTGAAGTACATGAATGAAGTAAAGACATGAAAAGTATGTATATATATGACCTTTGCTCCAGTTCTTTTGTTTGGTGTCACATCTACAGGTGTGTCAGTGTTTACTCTCTCTTACCCACATGGCCTGGGCTGAAAATGGATCAGTTACAGTTACATTGTAGATTCTTGAGTAAAAACCATTGTGCCATGCTATCATTTCACAATATCATAATTCAAATACCTTGGCGAGAAGAAACCTTTATACTCGCATGCGAGTCTTCATTGACTTGATCATCACATCCACAACAAGGCCTGTAGAGGGAGCTGTAGCACCCTGTTGCTAATAGAAGGAAGCCCTAAATGTGACCCTAGACCAGTCATAAGGGTCCATTTTTGATTTATACATCATCTGAAAGCTGAATACATAAGCTTTCCATTGAAGTATGGTTTGTTAGGATAGGACAATATTTGGCCGATATACAACTATTTGAATATCTAGAATCTGAGGGTGCAAAAAAAATCTAAATATTGAGAAAATTGCCTTTAAAGTTGTCCAAATGAAGTTCTTAGCTATGCATATTACTAACCAAAAATTAAGTTTTGATACATTTACAGTAGGGAATTTATAAAATATCTTCCTTTACTTAATATCCTAAGGATTTTTGGCATAAAAGAAAAATCTATAATTTTGACCCATACAATGCATTGTTGGCTATTGCTACAAATATACCTGTGCTACTTAAGACTGGTTTTGTGCTCCAGGGTTACAAATATTCTTGAATAAATATGGGAGGAGGCTGAAAGAGAGTTGTAAAACTTTTTGTATTCCACCTTCTTCAGCTCCGACTGCTCTATGAGTGCAACCCCATGGCCTTCATCATGGAGCAGGCCGGAGGGATGGCCACCACAGGGACCACCAACATCCTGGACATCCAGCCCGAGAGCCTCCATCAGCGGGAACCTGTGGTCATGGGTTCCCCTGATGATGTCCAAGAGTACATCTCCATCTTTCAGAAACATCATAAATAAAAAGCAATAGTCAGAATGAGAAATTATAAAGAAGATACATATACTTGACACTCCAAAATAAGATACCAAAGTATATTCTTACCCCTAAAACCAAATTATTTTATACACTTTATACCTCCATGAAGAAATATAAGAAGAATTTTTGAGGACAAGTGTTTTTTTTACACCAGTAAAGTAGAAGATTTACTTTGAGGTCGTTTTTTATAGAAACGCAGTGTTTTCCGCATTAGACAATCTACCTGAGTGTTATCGGCAGTTGAAATTGTTGATGGCCAAAAAGACAAGAAGCAAATTCATGGCGGCAATGAGGAAGACTTGAATTTAAGTTGATTTTGTTTCTGTCTGTTCAGACCAAATAATCACTTGTGCCTTATTGCACCCTATTGAGGGAAGCTGTGAATAAACTTCTTGGTGAAACCAGACTTTGTGAGATATGTGCTGTGTTAACAACTCATACATGATTTATAATGTGCAAACACAACATTACAACTACTGAAATTCTGTACAATGCTCACATTTCAGTAAGCCTCTGAGGACACAATAATATCACCTTTGAATGAAAAAAATGCTACTTTTCCTTCATCATACCTAATGTATTCCTATATAAACACAGATTTTAATAAAGGACATGATGTACAACAAGTTCAAGCAACCAAATGAAGAGCAGATTACCTTTTCTGTAAAGGCCAATAGGCGCAAAGACATTTTGACTGCTGACATTTGAGATGCATATCTGTTTATAAATTATACTCTCATTTAAAGTTAAAAAAGCTAATGATGATTAGTATTTGTAGCATACTAAGTTCAGTTTGAGTATAGAAATGATCAGATAAATGCTTGCCTGTGTTCAGTGATCTCTTCTCAGCTTTTCTGCTATGAGCAAAATGTTGTCTTGTAGGTTCTGATCCTAATGAGTTTATTATTTTGGGCTCTGTAGCAGAGGAGGCACCCGCGTTTAGGGCAATAAGAGCAGGAGGCAATTAGATTGAGTGCTTATTTGGAAATATGTCAGCCAACCTGTTGAATCTGGAGAGTGACATCTATACCAATGCTGAAATGTATTGCATAAACAGTGCTTACAATTTCAATTATGTTTTCAGAAAGCATGTTAATTGCACTTTTCAGTGCTGTGAATCAAATATAATGCACGAGCAGCATGCTGTATATCTATTTTCTTAAAACGTGTTTGATGTGTTTAGTCACTGTTACAGGTTTGATTTTAAGTTATAGGGGACACATTTACGTATAAATAAATACTCAGTATTATTAATGAGATCCATTTAATAGACCTTCAGTATTCATTGGGACACGACTGTCATAAACAATCGTGAGCTTTGCTTCATGATCCATGACCTTCTAACTTCTGAGTATATGTCATGTGTCAAGAGTGGACATAAATAATGAGCTGAGAGCCAAGGAACGTGCTTTATAAGTTGGGCCCTTTGAGCTCTGGCTCTGCTAGCATTCAGACTATACTACTGTCACTTGATCTGCTTCACCAATATAACCTTGGCCTTCATCCACTCACTGTGTGTGTAAAAAGACTGCCTAGCGGCTCTACTGTTAGTTAGTCTCTGCCTGTCCAACTGCTTGTACACTCAGACACCGTAAGGATGTCGGATCAGTCGGTCTTTGATGTGGACGTATGGACCCTCACACGCTTTGTCACGGAGACGGGGCGGCAGGCGAAGGGGGCCACCGGAGAACTCACACAGCTCATTAACTGCCTGTTAACAGCTATTAAAGCTATTTCATCTGCTGTCAGGAAAGCAGGACTCGTTCACCTGTAAGTTTCGTTGAATTATTTTGCATTATGTGAATGAATATATTTTACTGTAACACATGCTGTGACTGTATGAAATAGAAGCGGGCAAAAGTTAATTCAGCTCAGCCAATGATCAAATAGAAATGCTAGATCAAACAGACAGACATAGTTATGGTTTCCTAGTTACAGTTCTAGTATGGTTAGTTAAGTAATACACTTTTAGTAAGTAACGTAGTTGTCTTTGTAAAGAAATAATATCAATATAATAGCATTATGATAATAATAAATAGAAATGATTCATTCGATTTGAGGCTGCTAATTTCTAATTCGCTATAATCTGTGATTCTCATGGCAGCATTACTTAAAAATAAACTATTTTACACAATTTTTTCCAGTTCACCATTTTAGCACTGTTTTGGCATTTGAACCTCAGTAGTTGCTTTTCAATAATATTTGTATGCTCTGGTTTCACCGAACACAGTCAAGGCATTGCGGGACAGGTGAATGTCACAGGTGATGAGCAGAAAAAGCTGGATGTGCTTTCCAATGATCTGATCATCAATATGCTGCAGGCCTCTTATGGCACCTGTTTGATGGTTTCTGAGGAGAACAAGGATGCCATCTACACACCTGCTGAGAAAAGAGTATGATCATTCTCAATAGGCTTGCTAATTAATCATTTTTAAGTATTTATTGTTAAAGGAAAAGTTCATCCAAAAATGTATATTCTGTCATTACTCAACTTTATGTTGTTCCAAACGTGTACGATGCTCTTTCTGTCTGCAAAATAGGCAGGATGTTTATGGTAGCCTACTCTTTTCATGTATTAAGTTTGAAATATTCCTTTAACGCATGATGTTTATTACATATGCATTATAATTTATAATGAACCAAAGGGACAAGAGTGTTAGATTTGAGTTAGACCTGCTCTAATTGGTAAATATTAAGCATATGACAATGGGAGCTTCTGATTAAATGGAACTAAAAAAAAAACATGGTTATTAGATAAAAGAGAGAATAATGTGGCTTAAAATGTGTTTGCTTAAAAGGAAATATATATACAATATCTAAAGACAACTAAATCCAAGACTTATATTCAGAGGCGGACAGTAACTAAGTACATTTACTTGAGTATTGTACTTGAGTACATTTTTTGGGTATCTGCACTTTACTTGAGTATTATTTTTTCTGGAAACTTATGACTTTAACTTCACTACATTTGAACCTCTGCTTATATTTAGAATACAGTCTTTAAATTCCTGGTAGTTTTCCATCAGTCAAAGTTGCAATGTGTTCAATGAAAGGAAACTTCAAGAGTCAGGTATTTAACATAAAATTACAAGTCTGGAATAAATAAATACAACATAAGAAACGTTCATTTAGTTTCAAATGAATTATGGCTGCTACGTAAACTATTTGTGTCAGGCTAACATACCTCTCTGTGCTAATGCATATTTATTGGAGTTCATTATTACCACATGAGGTCACCGTAGCTACATCTTATTTCAGCTGCTCACTCACTCACTTCAGTCTGTTTGTCATAGGGGAAATATGTGGTCTGTTTTGATCCCCTGGATGGCTCCTCCAACATCGACTGTTTGGCCCCCATAGGCACCATCTTTGCCATTTACAAAAGAGTGAGTGTTTGGGCGGCATTTGTTGTTTGGCGTTGCATGGGCATTTTGTGTACTTTTTGATGCATACGCAAACAAAAAATAGCACTAATAATATAACATAATTGTATTTTCGTGTACGCTTTCTGTCATGTGGTGTGTGTGAAATGGATTGGTTTGATGTTTGGTGTTCTTGTGCTACTTTCCCATACAGATTGACGAGGTAGCTGACTGCATTTGACCCTGCCTGATGACAAATATTGGCTAAGCAATAAATTCAATTGAACGTTTCATTTGATTTTATTAAGTGCGCTTGAGTGTAACTAATTGCAACGGCACAACTGATCTTAGTTTATTGCTTGACTTTTATTGTGTTTTTATAAGGCTACATATATTCTGCAGTAACAAAAATGTCCTCTAGATGGTGACATTGGGTTTTAACCATAGACTGTATAAAAACACGGTTTTAACAGAAATTTTAACATTCATTTAATCACGATGAGTCTAAATTATTTTTCTTTTCTTTCTTTTTTTAAACTTACATAATAATGATAAAAAATATATACAATCAAGATGTGGCGCAACAGACATATTAATAGTTTTTGATTGACATCTTGTGTTTATAAGAGGCTTCAATACTGGCAGAGACCTGATTCAGTTTTTATCTCCTGTTTCAGACCTCTGAAGGAGAACCGACTGACCAGGACGCCCTACAGCCGGGCAATCAGATCGTGTGTGCGGGCTACGCTCTTTATGGCAGCGCCACGCTAGTGGCTCTCAGTACAGGAGCTGGAGTTAACTTCTTCATGCTGGATCCAGTAAACACAAACAGTTCAATCTGCTGAAATGATCGGTTAAGAATGAATAATAATGCCAGGGCTTTACAAACTACAGTATCTATACTGCTTTAAGATCAGGGTTTAATGGAATCAGTTCATTGAAGAACGATTCAAGTGAATCATTTACAGTTTATTCACAACTATATGAACAAAGTGCACATATGCCAAACATAATATTGTCTTAAAAACAAAAATAGCCGTGTAGTACACTGTGAATCTTTCTACATTTATACAACGTTGTATGTTTCACTTCTGTTTATGGTTTGAATTTTTAGATTATAATTTTTTTTACACAGTAAAAGGGATGCTTCAGGGAAATTGCTTGTCAATTTCGGATGAAAGTCTTGAATGTTTTGTGGCTGTAGTGAACTAGTTTTGATTCCTCATCTTTGGCCCGTTTATATTTAGTTACGCAGTTTTATTACAACACTGTACAGTTGTGTGTCAAAATGTGTGTAACATGAGCTCATGAGAATGATTTTTTTTATGTTCCTCTTCTTTAGGCAATTGGAGAATTCATTCTGACAGACAGAAATGTGAAGATCAAGAAAAAGGGGAAGACTTACAGTATCAACGAGGGCTACGCTAAGTACTTTGAGCCTGCAGTGAATGAGTATTTAAAACACAAGAAATACCCAGAGGTAGGTTCTATACAGAAACATAAGCAGATCTAGCCAGATAGAATAGCTTCATGATCTATCTTTATTATTTTAGGAAAGTCTTATCATTGCTATAGCCATTTTTTTACCTAAATGTGACTGTAAGATCACAGCACAAATCAAACCATTGAGGCACACTGTGGTTTGTTGTGTATCACATCATGTGATCAAGCAAACATACTCACAAGTTCATGACATGTTGCGACAGAACAGGCAATTTTGCTTAGCTGGCCTGATGAACACTTAGTCTCAAACAAAATGTGAGTCTGAATAATGCTTCCTGACAGGTCGGAAGCTTGCATGACTGCATGGCTGTGCTCAACATCAGCTGACGTTTACACACGTTGCATGCTGGAAAGTGAAGAGCGACTTACTCTGCAGGAATTCATGTTCTGTTTTCTGAACTGGAACATAGACTCAGCATATGTAACTGATTCACGTTACTCTGCTAATCACAAGCCTCAGGTGCAGTGTGATCATAAAATATGCTGAGTATGATTTTTCCCTGTGTCAGTTGGTTAATTTTTAAAGTTTTTTAGTGAATACGTGTGAGATCTTGTCTTTCCAGGAATACGTGTTCTTATTTGTTCATTTTTGAAAATCATCTTAATCAGTCTGATGGTGATAAAAAGGAAAACGTAAACAAGAGTAAAGACTGAAGAGCTTGTCTTAGATAAAATAATGCCTTACGAAATGGGAAACTTGCTAATCAAGTAGCCTACATTATGTTATCAGCCATGTTTTATGTGGGATATCATGTTGTTTTCATAGAAGTGTTTTCAGAAACTTGCTATCTCTGACCTCAGGACGTATTGATTTGTTTGCATATTGTGTCTGTCATTGCTTGACGTGGGGTTAGTTAAGGGAACACACTGCCGCTTCTTAAAATCCAAATTTAAAGCCAAACATCACAATTTTTTTGTAGTTCCTTTTTGTCATTTTCACTGCTCAACATCTTTCTGAAGGAAAAGGCATTATATTAGATGACAGATGTTTGATTTTAGCTGTCCAGCTTGGTTTCAGTTTCCTAGAACTTCTTACACTACTTCCTGATTTCCTGTCCTCTTTTATTGAAGCACTTGTGACTTTTGCTCTCTACAGTTTTTGTTTTAGATTGTTTGCCAACTGTCGTAGAAATTATTTTGAGTTTTTTTTTTTTGTTCAGAGATCCAAGCCTAGAAAGATCATGCATACACAGTGTATCTCATGCAAACTCAAATATATGAAGAAGTTTTAAGTTTTTGTTTATATGAATCCTGATATTATATTTGACGAAATGTGATTGTCTTACAGGATGGCAGTGCCCCATATGGTGCCAGGTATGTTGGGTCGATGGTGTCTGATATACACCGTACCATTGCCTATGGTGGCATATTCATGTACCCAGCCAATGAGAAGAGTCCAAAAGGAAAGGTGAGTCGGCTAAGGTGTTACGACATGATCATTTTTAATTCACCTGTTTTAAGATATTCAGGGCAAACAGTGGAAACCGGTCATAAAAAGCACATCTGGTGACAGTAACATAATGAAATAATTTATTGAATATGATGAAAGATAACAAACTTTTATCATATTATGGTTACAGTAAAGTGTTTCATGCAGCATATGCTGTCAGGTTAAAGGGTTAGTTCACCCAAAAATGAAAATTCTGTCATTAATTACTCACCCTTATGTCATTCCAAACCCGTAAGACCTTTTTTTCATCTTCGGAACATAAATTAAGATCATAAATCTGTGAGCTCTCTGACCCTCCATAGACAGCAAGGATATTACCACGATCAACACACAGAAACGTAGCAAGGAGATCGGTAAAATAGTCCATGTGACATCAGGGGTTCAACCGTAATTTTACAAAGTTACGAGAATACTTTTTGTGCGCAAAGAAAACAATAATAACATAATTTATGAGTTACCGTCTTCCACCTTTTTGGAGAGTACCCCAGAACGTAATCAACATAATGAGCGTTGTTTACGTTCAGCATCAGCGCACTTTCACTGAACGTAATCAGCGTTGTTTACGTTCAGTAGACAGAACAGAATGAAGGTCTTACGGGTCTGGAACGACATGAGGGTGAGTAATTAATGACAAAATTTCATTTTTGGGTGAACTATCCCTTTAATCTTATTGTTGTGTTCAGCTGACCAGTGTTATTTTATTTTTATTTATATACTATTATAGTATTTATTAATATTTCGAATTAGCTTTATTTCAGTTTTAATCATTTTACTTCTTCCAAGTAAACTTATTTTATTTGTTATTTTGGTTAGTTTTGTTTCTAAGTTTAAATCTAATGTATTTTATTTTATTTCAGCTTTATTTAAATTTACAGTTAAGTATTGGTTTTAGTTCATATACGAGACCATGATCCGCACTCACTAAAATAGTTTATTTTACATTAATCACCAATAGGAAAATAACACAAACGTTTCGCCTCAAGGCCTTCTTCAGAGTGTTGAGCAATTCCATCCCTCCCCCACTTTTTTAAATCATTAATTATATTGACGTCATCACTCATTAACCAATCTTCAATCACTAAAAACACACGCATTCCATTTAAATACTGGACAATTTCCATTTGTATACAACACAATCTTCACATCCACCAAGTTATTTGGCTTTAGTTCACTAGGTCACTACGTCATAATTCATAAGAACACTTCCATAATCCATAAGCCTCTGCTGTGTTTAATACTGTAGAATACTTTATGGTTGGGAGCAGGTACAGGCATGTCATATTCTGATAACAGATAACCGCTCATTTCACGGCCGAGAGCTGTGTCGTTCCTGATAATGGGCAGTGACAAAACACTTGACATGAACCTAGACTGGAACAAATACACACTATAGCATGAAAGCAGTGAGCCAGATATTATATCTGCAGTTCGTGCTGCTTTTCAAGAAATGCCAGCGTACAAACTTGCCACAGTCCAGTCTCTCTGTTCTACATAGATACAAATATAATGGATCCATTCTGAATGAACTCAACATGTTCAATGCTTCTTAGTTGACCCAAATCCACAACTGATAAGAGAAAATGAAACATTGGCTGTAAACTCGGAGGTAAAACTATGATAACTGCTCATAGTTTAGCATAAAATGGACCCTTTGAAAAATAACTTGAAATGTGCAAATCAGCATTATGAAACTTGTGAGGTTCTCACATGTTTGATTCTCTCCAGCTGAGGCTGTTGTACGAGTGTAACCCCATAGCCTTCTTGATCGAGCAGGCCGGGGGCATCGCCACGTCAGGCACCCAGCGCGTCCTGGATGTTATTCCCGACTCACTTCACCAGAGGCTACCCTTTGTGGTGGGATCCCCAGACGATGTGGAGGAGTACTTGTCCTTTGTCAAGAAACATAAAAAGTAAAGATTTCGGTTGCAATATGATCCATTGAAAGCCCACATGACATTGAGATACAAAACACCACAGTAGCTTTTTTTAAATAGTGGAAGCAATGCTTTTGTACACAGAATCACATTAAATTTCCAGTATTTTAAATCATTATTTTCTTTCTTTATTTCTCAAATCACTCGCTCAAGGTCTTTTTAGTTCAGATTTGCTCTTGTACCCTTTTCACAATCTGTGTCTTTTCTTCCTCACTTATTTTATGTGAACATAATGTGCCTTCAGCGGTGTGTTGCTTGTTAGTTGGTAAAGTGTTTACACCTCCAGAGCCCTCCCTGTTAGCACAAGAGGCAAAACCCCAATAATCTCCACTCCGCAAGTCTTAGTTTGCTGGTCATGATGACGGCCCATGTAATGGCAACATGCCAAGAGATAAACAAATAGGACACGTTGTATTACTAGAGTAAAAGAACAGGCCTCCATGTTAATTTTCACCTCTCCAGGTTACAACAGGCATAGCGAAGGAAAAATTTAACCTTTGTGGCACTTCCAGAAAACTTTTTTTCCCCTTTAAAACATGTATTAAAGTAATACTTATCCTGGATATGCTGCTTAGGTTAAAGTTTTAGAAAGCATTACTGTAAATACAGAACAATCATAACCAGCCAACTTCCTGTTTATGTAGGCTGATACACTACTTTTGATTTCTGTTTGCTCATCTCAGTCAACAAAACATCATGATGAGGTGATAGGAATAAATGTTTTGGAGCTGATATGTAAAAAGATACAGCAATATTATAGTTCAAAAGTTTGGATAGTTTTTGAAAGAAGTTTCAAGGCTGCATTTATTTGTGACCCTGGACCACAAAACCAGTCATAAGGGTAAATTTTTTGAAATTGAGATATATGCATCATCTGTTTGGATAGGAGAATATTTAGCTGAGATACAACTATTTGAAAATCTGGAATCTGAGGGTGCAAAAAAATCTAAGTATTGAGAAAATTGCCTTTAAAGCGGTCCAAATTAAGTTCTTAGCAATGCATATTACTAATCAAAAATTAAGTTTTGATATATTTGCAGTAGGAAATTTACAAAATATCTTCATGGAACATGATCTTTACTTAATATCCTAATGATTTTTGGCATAAAAGAAAAATTGATAATTTTGACCCAAACTATGTTTTTTTGGCCATTACCCCAGCGACTTAAGACGTGTGAAATATACGTTTTTTGTTTTTTTTTTATTGTTACATATTTTTTAAATGTAATTTATTCCTGTGATGGCAGTCTTCAGTGTCACATGATCCTTAAGATATCATTCTAATATGCGGATTTGGTGTTCAAGAAACATTTCTTATTATCAATGTCGAGAACAGTTGCTGTTTAATATTTTTTTTGTGGAAACGGATACATTTTTAAAAATACTTTGATAAAGAAAAAGTTTATTTAAAAGAACAGCAATTAATTAAAATAGAAACCTTTTGTAACATCATAAATGTTTTACTGTCACTTTTGATCCGTTTAATGTAGCCTTGCTGAATAAAAAAAAAATTGAACGGTAGTGTGTCATTAATATTGAACTGTTTTAAATGCAAGATACAAAACTAATAAAAGAATATAAACAAAACGGTTACATTTTTAAAAGTTTTATTGATTATACGGAATGTAGAAATAAAAAACACATTTGTACATTTAGACACTGCAGAATATGTATTTACATAGAGGCAAAAATCAACTAAATCAGTGGCATTAAAATGACCAAAAACAATTGCATAAATTTCCTAAAACAATGTCACACAATACCTAGAGCTTGAGGTTTCTCTGTCACAGTCTCAACCAGGCTGTGAGACACACAGTCACCCGTGTCAGGTGACTCCTTATTCACTACACTAGTGGGTTTCAGTGAACCACTCAGGCACTGAGACACTAATGTGACCTTCTGCTACTATGTCTTGATACTGGAGACATCTTCCTTAGACGAGAGGGTAGCTAGCAGCTGTAGCAATACCACAGTGGTTGTGTCTGTCCTTGGCCATGTAGATATAACCTTTATCACCCCAATTCTCACTCCAGCTAGAATGCACAAAACACACATTAGGTTAAAAACACTGGCTTTAAACGTAGCCCATTCAGTATTTTAGAGTATAAATTATCTTCTTACCTGTTCTTGACAATCCAATACTTCTTTCCATCAACATCCTCGCCCTCAAACCCATAACCAACGGCAAGAACACCATGATCTAGCTCCTCGCTGCTGCAGTCTTTTTCATAGTAGATGCCTAACAAGAAATATGCATCCATTAGAGCACATCAATGGCATCTTCATTACTCATTTCTTATAACCGAGTCATTTAGTTGGCTTAAAAGGAAAGGAAAGGATGTGATGTGTGGCCCATACTCAGAATTTGTGCTCTGCATTTTACCCATCCAAGTGTGCGCACCCAGAGCAGTGGGATTTAACAACTACCATTAACAACTAATGGTGACAAATATACATACCTGACTGGTAGAACTGGAAAGACTCGTGTCCAGCGTCAATAGCCACAGACACTGGCCCCACAGCAACTATAGCTTTCATCAGAGCATGTTCCTTTCCACTGGGAATGTCAACGAATCCAGTGTCATTAGCTGCGCTGTATTTGGGATCATAATGGCAGGGCTGATCATCCTGAAAATGATAAGAAGCATGTATGTTATGGTAATCCTTCATATAATTAATCAGTATAATGTCATAGGAATAAAAGGTAATGTAACTTACAGTTCCCAAATAGGGGTAGGACTCCTCTGAGTCCAGACCATTCTGGTCTTTGATGTACTGGAAAGCCTGGTCCATTAGACCTCCGTTACAGCCCTCGTTGCCTTCAGGACGGGAGCAGTCCACCAGGTTCTGCTCACTCAGAGACACCAGATTTCCTGACTTCCGGAACATCTGACCCTCCATGGCTCCAGTAGTGCTGAAGGCCCAGCAAGAACCACACTCACCCTGCAAATACCACATTTGAAGCCAGTTGTTATCGACCAGTCGGCTTCGAGATGACTTAAAATAATATCACAAACATCAAAATACAAACATCAAAATAAGCTACAAGTAAAAATCTAAATATTTCTAATTTTGATTCTCCTCTGAAACATGTTTTTTTTCTTTAAAGAACCAGTGTTCCCATTGAAAACCTGGATAAATTAGGTAGCCTAATTTTAAATGTGTGATTTCTAGACCTGAAAAAGTTAAAATACAATGGCTATTTTATTATGAATATACATTTTACTAGTTATATGTAAAATATTTACGTAGAATGTGTGAAAAGAAAATACAACTTATGTAACCATGAAACTGTATTTTATTTAAAAATGAATTCTGATAAATTCTTATAAATATAATTATATCTTGTCTTTTTTTTTATATTTCTTTTAGTTACTTTTTTATTTACAGAGGTTAAGAGATCCCATAGATTAAAACATGTTTTGAAAGCTAGGGCTAGGGGGACTTTTAATATCGTTGCACACAATGCAAAAGATGATTTATTTGTAACATGTTTCCTGGTGTCAATTCGGAACACACAACAATGGTCTCTCACACACATCATATAAATCTATTTTCCAAAGTGGTTAGAAGATTTTTTCCCTATGGAATTTAAATACATTTACATATATCCAAAGTGACTTGCTTTACATTCAAGGTACACATTTTGTCAGTCCTTGCTTTCTCTGGAAATCAAACCCATGACCTTGACATCACTATTGCCGTGCTGTACTGTTTGAGCTACAAGAAGGCATGTTCAAAGGCATTGTTATTCTAGATTTCAGTAGTGCTGAAGGCCCAGCAAGAACCACACTCACCCTGCAAATACCACATTTGAAGCCAGTTGTTATCGACCAGTCGGCTTCGAGATGACTTAAAATAATATCACAAACATCAAAATACAAACATCAAAATAAGCTACAAGTAAAAATCTAAATAATCTAAAACATTCAAGGTACACATTTTGTCAGTCCTTGCTTTCTCTGGAAATCAAACCCATGACCTTGACATCACTATTGCCGTGCTGTACTGTTTGAGCTACAAGAAGGCATGTTCAAAGGCATTGTTATTCTAGATTTTTTTTATATATACGGGCAACTATCTCACCTGATCTTTCACGGGAGTCACGTATCCCTTTTCTCTCCAGTCCAACTTATTTGGGACCTCCAGGAAGTTGGGCTCCATGAAGAGAGATCCCCTGAATCGTCTCTCCTTCTTGTGTTTGTAGCCATTCATCACCTGCCTGAACTCCTCATGAGTCTGTAGATATAGAATAGTTCGATTAAAGCTGAAGGAATTTCATAAATCAATATGCAAACACCTCAAATGAAGTTCTTCTGCAGTCTTACCATATCACCAAACTGGTTCATTCCGAGTCTGTAAGTGTGTGTGCCCATGGAGTGCTCAAGATTGTGCAGTTCGATCTTTTTCAAGTTTTTCTCCCAGACCATTCGCCTCCACCCCTCCTCCTTCTGTGTTGAAAGAGATAACACCGAGTTCCACTTCTTGCTCCTTTTTCGACTTGTTAATGTAAATTTTAACACTTACTTCATGGTATTTTTTACTGTGCCAGTTCTTCCACTGCTCCCAATGGTCGTCTAACTGCGTGTCCAACGTTGGAGCAGCAAATACTGCACTGAGGCACAACGTGAAGGCTGCCAAATACACCCTCATGATGAAAACACTGAGGGTAAAAAAACAACAACAGGTCAGACATGTTGCAACAAGTGACAATGTACCTTATTCCACGTGAAGATAACAGATTAAAACATGTATCCAAGTGAATGCATACATCTTAGTTTTAATCATTTGAATGGTGGCATTATTTTCCGTACAAATATCATATGAAAGCTTATTTCTGGCACTTTGGGGAAAAAAGTGGAAATAACGAAATGAAATCATAGTACTGATATTCCAAATCGAAATGATGAGACACCAAGTCATGACTTATCTCATAATTTCGTTTTTAATCTCATTATTACGATTTAGTCATAATTTCGACTTTTCATAATTCTCATTTACCAAATCTTTTTCCAGAGCAGAAATGGGCTTCCATAGATTAAATATTCATTAATACGTCCCTAAATACGGCATAAACGTATTTTAAACGGTTTCAGGCGAAGTTTGTCACACCGCAAGAGATTGCTAGAACTGCTTGAAATTTCATGTCATGCAAGTTATTCATTTCAGTCACTTCACTGCTGTATAATTAAACGTGTATGTATATTTAAAAGTACTGGTGTATATTTCTACAGTGTCATGAGATCAGATTACTGCCCCGACATCTTTGTTTACACCCTGTGCAGAACCACCGGCAGGCAGCGGTAGTTACGTTGTTATGAATGCTAATAAAAATTAGTGAGTAATCTAAAGGAAGAGGTAGGCCTATTGTTCATTAAACTTGAAATGAAAACAGACGCTAACCTACAGAGCCGAACAAAAACGAATCTATATCATTGTCTGGAAGTTATATCTTCCAAAAATATATCTGTTTACACTGGCCTCCGGACAGACACACGGGTCTGGACACAGAAGAGAATAACCTTTAGCTGCAGTCACGGGATCTTGGAGGCTGCAGCCCACAGTTTTCCAGGAAAGTCACTTCACTGCTGTATAATTAAACGTGTATGTATATTTAAAAGTACTGGTGTATATTTCTACAGTGTCATGAGATCAGATTACTGCCCCGACATCTTTGTTTACACCCTGTGCAGAACCACCGGCAGGCAGCGGTAGTTACGTTGTTATGAATGCTAATAAAAATTAGTGAGTAATCTAAAGGGAGAAGTAGGCCTATTGTTCATTAAACTTGAAATGAAAACAGACGCTAACCTACAGAGCCGAACAAAAACGAATCTATCATTGTCTGGAAGTTATATCTTCCAAAAATATATCTGTTTACACTGGCCCCCGGACAGACACACGGGTCTGGACACAGAAGAGAATAACCTTTAGCTGCAGTCACGGGATCTTGGAGGCTGCAGCCCACAGTTTCCCAGGAAGAGAAAACAAAGACCGAAACCAGGCCACGGAAATCGAAAAAGAAACAACTGGAACTATTTTAGAGGAATGGATATGGGAAAAATCGTTACGCTTTGCTCATCGATTAAAAGATGGTAAACCCGAGTGTCGCTAGAAAAAATAACGTTACAATCAATTCATAAGAACGTATTGTATAGACGGCTCAGCTAAAAAGCGACCTAACAAGCTCTGTATTAAGCTAAAAAAAAATCTTAAAACAAAGATGCATACAACAAAATTACATTGACGTGTCCATATCGACGTTTTTTTAAAACAAAACAAATGCACAAACAACTCAAGATTCCCGAAAGCTTTAAAAACTCCTGACTTACCCTGCGGTCCTGAATATTCTGTTTCGCAGAGGGGCCCCAGGTTTATAGCGCATCTGAAGGCAAACTCCTCAATTTCTCATTGGTCGAGATTCTTGCCTATAGATTTGTCGATCCCGCCCCCGATGAGCACGACACAGCATGTGACCCACCAGCACGTGACGGCTTCCCGGCTGATGGTGTTAGTCATAAAGAAAACCAATATTACTATCTTAAAAAAAAAAAAAAAACCAGCATAACCAACATAACATGTTGCATTTAAGTCAATAAATGTATAAAGCCAATACTGTAGCCTAGGCTATATGATTTACTATTTACTGCTTGCCTCATTGGTCGAGATTCTTGCCTATAGATTTGTCGATCCCGCCCCCGATGAGCACGACACAGCATGTGACCCACCAGCACGTGACGGCTTCCCGGCTGATGGTGTTAGTCATAAAGAAAACCAATATTACTATCTTAAAAAAAAAAAAAAACCCAGCATAACCAACATAACATGTTGCATTTAAGTCAATAAATGTATAAAGCCAATACTGTAGCCTAGGCTATATGATTTACTATTTACTGCTTGTCAACACAGCATGTGACCCACCAGCACGTGACGGCTTCCCGGCTGATGGTGTTAGTCATAAAGAAAACCAATATTACTATCTTAAAAAAAAAAAAAAACCAGCATAACCAACATAACATGTTGCATTTAAGTCAATAAATGTATAAAGCCAATACTGTAGCCTAGGCTAATGATTTACTATTTACTGCTTGCCAACTATGTTTTAAATTAGAATGCACATACAGACTGATCGGTTTTCTTTGCAAAGGTATCATTTTCTAAGATATGTAATCCATTCACAGCACTTCCATGGGTGATTCTACAATTGAAGATACATTTGGTGTCCGAAGTCATTATTTCTTTCTGCTTTTTTCAAATGGTCATATTTTAAATTATTTTAATAATTTTACTTATTTTTATGAATTACAAGATGTTACAGTCAATAACAATATACTAATTTGTGTAAAAAGTGTCTTAAATAGCTCAAAATCATGATTTCTTGTTGTCCGAATGAGTCTGGTGGATTTTTTCCATCATGTATCATTGTGTAATCAAAATATTTTATTGTACTTTTCTTTTTGTAATATTTCCTTCATTTTATATATAAAAGCCCTAAATACTAATTTACTTCATTCTACAACATTAAATTGTTTTAAAATAACTTTTTTTCTTATAAAAACGTGTGTCCATAAATCTTGCGTCTTATGAATTACAAGATGTTACAGTCAATAACAATATACTAATTTGTGTAAAAAGTGTCTTAAATAGCTCAAAATCATGATTTCTTGTTGTCCGAATGAGTGGTGGATTTTTTCCATCATGTATCATTGTGTAATCAAAATATTTTATTGTACTTTTCTTTTTGTAATATTTCCTTCATTTTATATATAAAAGCCCTAAATACTAATTTACTTCATTCTACAACATTAAATTGTTTTAAAATAACTTTTTTTCTTATAAAAACGTGTGTCCATAAATCTTGCGTCAACTCTGTTACCGTACCATATTTTGCCTTTAAATTGGTGGAATTATCTCCCACAACTATGATAAGATAGGCCTACAGGAAATGATGATACTTTCCCTCCCTGATAAGATCTGAAGCACTGAAAAGTCTGTGTGCTCTCTCTGAGAAAATATTTAAATCTAAAAAGTTTATACCAAGAGTTATTTTGAAGAAGGCCGACGCTGTTACCACAATATCAAAAGGAAAACAGATCACAAATTGGGTTATTTAAAGGTATTTTAATCATGATTTCATTAGTGCCATGTGCTCTTAGCATTTATGCTGGAAACTGTTTGGCAAAAATAAATTTGTCAATTCTGTTACCGTCAAACTCTGTTACAGAGGTAGAGTAACAATGCTGACAATAGTGTAACAGAATTGACAGTCCACCGGATAATTCGGTCAATTCTGTTACTTAAAGGGTCAACTCTGTTTATGAACTATTTTCACAAAAAAACTATACAATTGTTGTTTAAAATCTCAAACATTATTGAGATATGATCCCTTATAATATTTCAACATTTCTCTCTTTTTTTTTACTGGATATTTTCTGTTACAGAGGTAGAGTAACAATGCTGACAATAGTGTAACAGAATTGACAGTCCACCGGATAATTCGGTCAATTCTGTTACTTAAAGGGTCAACTCTGTTTATGAACTATTTTCACAAAAAAACTATACAATTGTTGTTTAAAATCTCAAACATTATTGAGATATGATCCCTTATAATATTTCAACATTTCTCTCTTTTTTTTTTACTGGATATTTTTTAATTTTTAGATGAAAAATATTTGCTCCAAGTGGACAATTATGTGAAGACGGGTATTTAATTTTTAAGGTATGCATTGGTGAAATATTATCTCCAGTTCCAAATGTTGGAATGTAAGTTTGTCTAATGATACAAGAAGGATTTTTCCTTTTATGATTTATTGTTATTTCTACACATTGCCTAATTTGTCCGTAACAGAGTTGCCAAACAATACCATAAAAGACATCTGTTTTTTAATTAAACGTAAAAAAAAAAAAAGGAAGTAACTTGTGTTTGGCAAGCACTGAATTATTAAAATTGAATATGTTTTCAATATGATACTGGAAAGAATTTCTGTTAGTGAACAGTTTTTTTTCCTTAACTTATGAAATGAAATGCCAAATGTATCTCCAATTATAGGATCACCCCCATACGAAAATCATAGGCATTTCAGTTATTATACCTGTTATTAACTAGCCAGTAGTGCTTATGCCTTCCTCAGTGTTCAAATACAAGCTCTTCACACAACTAGAAACACATTGCAATTGATTGAATGTTAGATTTAATCACATTTAAAATAAATCCATTTAAAATGTTAATATATACTAAATCACAAGATTATAAAACAAAAGGGTCTCCATCACATATATATTCGCAAGGAACACAAGTCATAAACAATGTGAATGCAGTGAACTTGCATGACCCGGCTCACACATCAACAGACCACCAAAACCAGTGCATATTGAATTTGTTATCAGTATGTCTATGTGAGGACATCAGTGCAGGTTAACAACATTCCACATTGTTTACGTTCACTGTTAAGATTTGTGGCAGGCCAGAATTAGAGTGCTGTTGAATCTACATACAAACAAAGGGGAAAACTAGACTGATTAATGGGCTCGTCTGTCACAAGAAGCACACAGAAGCTATAGATGGGAAGATTGCTCAATTATCACTGAAACCTATCAGCCCAGCGCTTCCAGCAATGATCAAAAAGGAGCAGTTAAAAGAAGTACAATTGATCAAGCGTGAGCATTCATGACTCTGAAAATTCTGATTAGTGGATATGCATTCAGCATTACACTGTAACTAAATAGCAAGTTAGCCTATTTTAAAACCACAAGTAAAGTAAACCATTTCATAAACAGAGCTATAAAAAGAACAGAACAGGAAAGCTTCTATATGTCATGTTGAAATAAAGGTGCGGTAATTCCATTTGCTGAATAATGCATGTTCAGTCATGCCACACACTGACGCTTCAAAAAAACAGCACATGACTAATTATTCATCCACAGCAATGCCATCATTGTCATTTTCGATTCATTTTAGCGGGCTCTGCTTCTCACGGTTGAATTGGAGGCCACTTTACCCAGAATTCACTGGAGGGCACTTTGACATTTTTGAGAAAACTTTACAATAGGCTATTATTAGGACAGATTAAGTTACAAATTACATAATTTAGACCAAAGAATCTAACATTTTGTAAGGTAAAATATGCTGAAATCTCCATAACCTCTTCTTTCAAATCTCAACTAAAAACTTTAGGGGTTTTTTTTTCAGCTCAGTGCTCTCTAGTGTTTATGTAGTTTATTATTTTTCGTTGTTTGTACATTTGTGAATATTTGTAACTAACTTCGTTCCATAGGCTGATATTTTCTATGTACAGCAACACTGATCTTGGAAAAGGCACTTTATTAATTATTATTATTACTGTGCTAAAAATCTTTTATCTTGAAAATCTCGAAATGTAGATGGCAAAATATTGCATGAACAACACTGTAAAAATGATTTTTTTTTTAAAAGAACAGAGAATCATTGAGTAAACAATTTATTATAAAAAATGTAGTACACTGTAAAGTTTGAAGAAGTATTAAGTACATGGCATTCAGAGACATGCGAACATAATATAAATAGAGCAATAATGTGAAGGTCTTGTGCAAAGAAATGACTGTACAAGTCTTAAATACACCAGGATAAACTCCCCTCTGATGTACCCTGTTAAAGTCATAAGAGGGAAAATCATGAACCTTGACCACAGCTAACCAGCGAAAGAGCTCCATAATACATAGACTTAATCACAATATAAAAATGTGCCTTTTGGAATGAGAGAACACAATATGCCCAATTCCCTTTTAGAAAAGTTTGTGAATTCAAGCCTGCAAGGGAAATGATGAAAGGTTGGAGGATAGACCTGTCCCAAAATATAATGTGGAACAGTTGTCTGGACTTTCAGACATTACAAAAGATGATGATGAAACTGCAACTGCCTCATAAGAAGGAGAGCAAAAAGAGTTATAGCATGTGTTAGATGTAACAGAGTCTTTGCTGCCATCTACAGTTTTCAAGTTGTCACTTCATTTGTGTCCAATATACCACATTCAGTACAGTGGTTTTCCTGTAACTGAGGAATGGCATCGCTTTTAACAGTTTCAATGCAAATGTCAACATATTTCATGACACTTTTGCCCAATTTAAGTCCCTTAGAATAGCATTTTATGATTAATTTTCCAGTGTAAAGAATACACATGACTTAAACACTCAACAACAGTGTAAATGTGTGAAACAGAATATATTAAACTAAGCTGAACAATTGTAACAAAGATCATGCTTATCAGGACACTGCGGCAGACACGAAGAAAAACAAAATCTTACTTGTCACGTAAGTGCCTGGAATATTTCAGCATTTCCATTTGACAGGTAGTCAGAACCGTAATATTTCACAAAAGTGAAAGTGACAAGTAGGCTATAAGTGTGAATAAGACAAATGTGAGGGATTTTAGAAACCAGACTTAAAAACAATTTACCATGCATTTCGGTTTTTAAAGGAATGTTTAGTATGTTTGTTTGTGCTTCATCATTTGAATAAAATCCTGTCTGATAAAGGATGCGTTTTAGTTGCAATAAGGAACAATCAGGTAGTAAATGCAAGTGACCCAATTTTGTATGTTTGAGAAAAAGTGTAAATCTAATAGATATGTTCATTAAAAGCTTCAGAAGACAGGTAAACACCGAAACACTTGCAGAGGTGCACATCCAATTTTGAAATCTATAGCAATGGCTCTTTGTCAACAGCTTACCATCTTCAAGGCACTCAATAGCTTGAGTCGTGTATTAAATAATGCTGCCAAGCACTTAGTGATCTATCATTCGGTCATCAAATTTAGCGCAATTCCCCAATAACAGCTGTCCGAATTTATAGAAGTAATAGAATTTTCCTTCAGTAAGAACGTTTAAAAAAAGTCCGCCTGCAGTTTCACCTTGGGAATGTGAGACAGTCAATAAAAGATTTGCAGAAAAAAAAGCACATAGGCACCTTTTCAGAGACACCAAGAATGAACATTCAGAAATCGCGAAGGGGAACAAAATGGACATGAGCAGAGTATCTGATTCAAATACTTCCGTCTCAGGACACCAGGGAGCTTGAGATTGAACACCGCTCCACCGGTCAATTGCACGTTTCTCTATAGACACAAGTGACGTCCTAACGAGAGATCACGGAACTGATGGAGTTGAAGGATGTGCCGCCCCCATTACATACCGGGCTGTAGGGCTCCGGCGGGGTGCCCAGTATTTCCAAGTTGACCCGGAACACGGGTGCAGCTCTAAGGAGGAAATCTGCTGCATCCCGACGACCGAGTTCTCGCACCTTGGCGAGCAAAATGCCTATGGTTGAATCGGGTCGCTGGCTCCACTCCTGCAGGAGCGTGGCTGTGGGACTGGGAAGGGAAAGGGGGTCTGCAGGCAGAGTCCCGTTGGTGCCAGAACTGTATTTAGCAGCGAGCTCGCTGAGGCCCAAGTTCATGGCAAGCAGGCACCAGTCCTTCCCAAGGGCATCGGGAGGGTCCAGCAGGCGGCAGAGCTTGCGTCGAGCCAGGTGACTGACCTCCGCCACGGGCACTTCCCCACCAAGACTGCCCTGTTTGTAGACCTGGGTGCAACCTAATGCTACGATACTGACAAAGCTCTCACGATAGCCGCCCATAGTGTTCGAAAGCGCGTTCTCGCCTCGCGCCTGAGCACGGAAAAAGTCTCTCGGTTGGTAGAGCATGACGGGGCCATGGTGTTCCCGCAGCTGCTGAGGGCTAAGATAATGCCGGGCGGTAAGCAAACCGGGTAACGTAGCAGCTAACAGACCTTCTGCCATGCCGCACAACGTGTCCAATAAAGCATAGCAACGGCCGGGATCCGAGTCAGGTCCTCGTAACTGTACTTCCATGCCCTGCCCGTGGTTCACAAGCAGAACCAGTGCCTCAGCGCCGCCGAGTCCAACCCGAGCTCCGCTGCTCCACAACCTCACATCCTCAGCCTCGACCTCTGGCTTCTGCTGCCGGCTCCACCTGCACAAGTTCACTTGCAACTTATGGAAAAGTCCACAAGGGAATGGCGCCAAGTGTTCCGCAGGGACAACTCGCACACCACCGTAAAGCAAAGTGTCCTCGCCTTCGATGTCTTCCTCGTCGGTCCAGGTGTGCTGTAGGCCACCCGTGCGTATGAGGGCGGGAATGTCGACCATTCCGGGGTTGGCTAAGTCGCGGGCACATACATCCATGGCGTCGAGCACCTGGAGAAGTTCATCGATGTCACCTTCGGAGACAAGGTTTTGGAGTTCTTCCACGCGGTAGCGGCCACGGTAGTGGTGGATTGCTTTGGGGGTTTCAATTGAGAGGAGCTTGCCAAGTACATTACCACAAAGCCAGCGAGGATCTAACAGGACAACGTCCTGGACAGTCTCACTCTGCATGATGTTAATCTAGAAGACAGAAAATGATTGAGTACAAGCAAATGGGTGATTACAAGATTCCAAAGACACCAAGACAAATATTCGTTGAGATCAAATTTGAATGGCTGTTAATGCATCAGTTCAGACGGTCACGAAAATTCTAAAACGATGTTATAAACCTTTTTCCATAATACTAGCAAGAAAACTGGCCAACCAATACGATTAATGCTTTTGATCACATCACTAGAGCTGCAGTTGTTGCATAAAATTACAACATGGTTGCACTAACAGATTATTTTGCAAAGCACCAGTGAATAACAGAGGAAGAATCGGGAACAGGTTCTCTAGTCTCTCTACTTTGTATTTGGTGTTGTGTGATAACAACCATAGTGAATACAAAATCTGAATACACTTTGGCCCGAATAGGCATATTGTATGTGAAAATCAGACCGAAAGTTCATGTTGAATATTTGAGTTGGTGTGAACAGACCGTAACAGTTCAGCAGATGTGTCACTTTTGGGGCTCAACTCACTTATTCTTTTTCAAATAAATGTGAATAAAATCATCGGTAGATATCATGTCAGTAAATCAGTAGTTATGGGGGCGTACTTGAAATGCCTTGAATTTGGGTCAGTTCATTATTCTGAGCTATTTTATAAATTCAGAAGACTTGGAATACAGCAAACACATTTATGAAACATGTGATTTATACAGTGATCTTCTGTCATTTCAGAGCTTGGCAGCCCAGATTCTCATGCACTTTCAGTCCATTCTTCAACATTTTTCATTTTGATTCACACAAATCAGTCATACAGGCTGATGTGAATTGTTATTTTTGTGTGACTTATTCTTTGAAGAGACATGACATAACGGATTTTAAAAGGGCTGTGGTTAAACACGGGAGCTGAAGTCCCTTAAACAGAGTATCTTATGTAAGTAAATGTTAATAAAGCTGAATCACAGCTTGGCATTTCAGCCCATCAACATCAAAACATTCCCTAATATGTGTTTAAGTGTTGCTGCTGAAAACACAAATGACTAATATTGATGAGAATGACTCATTCACCTGCTCTCTCTATCGGTGAAGCTGTTGTTGTAATGGTTGTGGGTGGTCAATAGACTGCAAAGGCCCCTATTTAGTTGCTGACACCCACCAACTCATTTGAATCCACATAAAAACATGTTTGTAGATGTTCTGCATTGTATACTTTAAGTGGTTTGGAAGTAATGGATGTGGCATTAATAGCGGGGCGTGCACGATAGTATAGCATAATGTATGAAAACTACAATTTTAATTAATGATACAGAGCATCTACTTCAAACACACTTATGCTATACCCACAGCAATATAACCATAATTCAAACATTCATACATATTTATTCATCTGCTCATCGTCACACACACACACACACACACACTCTCTCACACATTCACTGGGCCGCCCACACACACACACACACACACCTCTCCCATGCTGTGAAGTTGTGAAGTCAGTTCCCGCAGATCCTCTTCACTGGCTAGAGGGTTGATTTGTTCTTGCACATCCACAACAAACTGTTGCCATGACATTAACTGGTTTGGTCCGTTCAGTTTCCGCCAGGAAGGCAGAGTGGACAACAGCTTCTCTGCCAGCTGAGTCATCGGCCTGCAGGTCTGTGAAAATGACAGAGAGAAAAGCAATTTTACATCTCTGGAAAAAATGCCAATGGGGTCACTAAGTTGTTGCTAGGTAATTATTTTCTAGCCCAAGTCAAAAGAACAGACCCCCAAATATGGTCTAAATTTTCCCCCATTAACTGAAAGTAGGAGCAATAGTAGAAATCACCACTGATAAATGAAAGTCTCCTTTAACACCTCAAAGATATTGTACTATATAAATTACGTATTTAAAAACTATAGTAATTACTTCTTTTTCCTTCATAATATACACAAAAATCCAGACGCAATATATGAGAAAGATGAGAAAGTAATCTGTACAGGTATGTGTAGGAGTGAGAGAGACAGAAAGAGAGATGTAGGAGGAGAACGAGCAGAATGGATTAGCGAGGGATCTGAGTGTCAGTGTTTGATATTGTGTATTTCTGTGTGTGTGTGTGTGTGTGTGCATGGTAAAGAAATGAAAAGAGCTTTATTATTGAGATCAGACCCAGATCAGAATCAAAAAAGTGCGTGTTTCCAGTAATTTAAAGGGATAGTTCACTCACAAATGAAAATTCTGTCATTAATTACTCACTTTCATGTCGTTCCAAACCGCTGAGACCTTTATTCATCTTCGGAACACAAATTAAGATATTTTTGATGAAATCCGAGAGCTTTCTGGCCCTGCATAGACAGCAAGGAAGTGAGGAGGACATTGTTAAAATAGCCCATGTGACATCAGTGGTTCAACTGTAATTTTATTAAGCTACAAGAATACTTCTGTGCGCAAAGAAAACAAAAATAATGACTTTATTCAACGATTTCTTGTCTTCCGTGTAAGTCTTTGACGTGTGTTCAGGAGAGTAATACGACGCATGCGTGTGCATTCCTCTGCTTGCAAACAAGGCACAGCGCATCTGGGTTGTACATCAGAATGTTAGCTCCCGCGTCAGCAGCACCACACGCATGCGCTGTGGAACTCTCGTGAACGCATGACGAAGACTGACAGGGAAGAGAAGAAATTGTGGAATAAAGTCATTATTTTTGTTTTCTTTGCACACAAAGTATTCTCGTAGCTTCATAACATTAAGGTTGAACCACTGTTGTCACATGGACTATTTTAACAATGTCCTAACAACCTCTCTTGGCCTTGAAGGTGGTAGTTCCCTTGCTGTCTAAGTCTATGCAGGGTCAGAAAGCTCTTAGATTTAATCAAAAATATCTTAATTTATGTTCCGAAGATGAACTTACGGGTCTGGAACGACATGAGGGTGAGTAATTAATGACAGAACTTTAATTTTTGGGTGAACTATCCCTTTAATGCTACATTTAGGTTACTGAAATGACAAAGTGCTGGGAGGTGTAGTAGAATGGAGACCGATCTTACAGAGATGATGGTGTTGCGGAGCTCCAACAGAAGGTTTCTCAGCAGCTTTATGTCTTTGGAGTTGGACGCTCCTGCATCCATGACAAAGAGCTTCTCTGCAATATGCAGATCATTCCCAAACCTGAGAGGGAAGAAAATGCATTATAATCAGTTTAATAGTTTGGCTCATCCATCAAATCACTTTAATCACTATGATCTAGTCAGTCCTTCAAAAATGCTCACTTAATGTACTTATAGGTCTCATAGCTTCAAACTGACATTTTATATTCATTTAATCACCTGTTTCTGACTTCTTTAAGTAGAGATCTCTCCTTGTCATAGCTGAACTCTCCCCCAAACGATCGGGGCAGATTCACAATGTCAGCATGTGAGGCCACCAGGACCACACGCAGTGGATTCCTGATCTTCCCTCCAAAGGCTGTGGATACAACAGAGAGGCAGTTTTATTGTCTATTCTTAACATCTTTGATCATTATGCATAATCTCAACTCTCAAATAAACTCAAAAATATCTGAGAACCATAGAACAAAAACTAGATTCCTAGATTAAGACTGATGCACCAACTCTAATGAAGTCTCTTTTGGCATTATCCATAGCTCTATGGATGTGCCTGCTACAGTACTTACACAAATTCATCAACCATCACTACAGTGAAAGCAATGGCAAGCCAGGCTGAAATTACTGAGAGAGTTTGAGAGAGACAAGAATGAGAAAACTACAAACAGCATTAATGAAGCACACAGAATGGAGAACAGTGAAACAGTGATACACAGAGAACAAAACTGCACGCATGAGCTCATTTCTATCATATGACTGTCAATTTAACTTGTGCATTCAAAACAAATAATTAATATAAAAATAATTTGTTACAAATATTTAACTATTTAAAAAAATGTCAAAAACAGTAACACATGGGGAATGCAAAGGGTCTCAAGAAAAGTACGCTTTCAAAAGTAGAACTGCTTTTAACATAAATATATGGTGCTCATGGTGTGAAAACAGCAAGACATGACGCAGTAGCCAAAACATCCATCTAGCGTATATGTACACAGAAACACCAAGCATAAATAGCACAAATGGAATGTGATAATGTATTCTATGTGAACAGGCCATGGATAGACTGACAAACTCAATGGTAAAAAAATAAAAACAAAATGTTTGCCAATTATAGACTGGTGTTGAATGACATGGAAATAAAACAAATAATTCATTGACTTCTACAGCCAGACTTTGTTATGTCTATTTAATGCTTTACTCATTTGCCACAATAACACTACCATTGACATTGGCGTTCTGGATGTCGATGGCTTTGGTGGCGGTGTCGTCAGCCGTGGAGAGAGCGTTATGGACAGGACTAAAGACCTCAAGCACTCCTTTAGTCAAACTTGGCTCAAACATCATACTGCGGCTCCGCACACTGACATTCTCACAGCCTGGGTACAGGTTAGAGATGCTGACAGACACTACAGGCACACAACACACAAACAGGGAAGCAAAAAGAAAGACAGGCTGTAAACTAGATGGAACTGACTTCTTATAATAGATAACAATATATACAATAAGGATATGTTTGTAGCTAAAGGATAAACTATGCATATTATTATAAAATGTCATGAAATATTCTTAAAATGTGGAAACCCACCACATGGGGGAGCTCTTTCCTAAACGCCTGATTCCAGCTTTCCAGTGTTGACAGAAAAATAAATATTTAGTAAAGGTTCCCTTTTTCTGATATATATTTTGAGATTACATGTATCCGTGTGGATAAAGATATGGAATGGCAATGGACAAAGATTGTACGTTAAAAAACTCCACAAGAGATGAGGCAGTATCACCACAAATATACATAATAAAAATAGCTCAGCTGGGAAAAACAAAATTCCTGAAAAAAAAAACGTGCTAACAGCCATTTTAGTTGGAGAAATAACATGAGAGTCAGATGATTTTTATACCTTGCAAACGTGTTAGTCACACTGTGCTGCATATGTCTCGCACAATCAACGCTTTCCACTAAACTTTGGTTCTTTCTAAAAACTTTTCTCATAGAAACCTAGAGACGACTTCCTCAATTTGGCTGTGGCAGTAAAAAAGTTAGCTTCATGTGTAATGCATTACATTGATGTGATTGCGCCTTCCAATGATAGCACTATGGTGTGTGTGTTAATCTGGGAATGAGTGAGGAAAGTGAACAAAGTTGGACCAGAAAAAGCTTAATACTCCAAGTTTCTAAGCTTAAAGGAATAGATCACCCAAAATGAAAATGTCCTCACCCTCGGGCCATCCAAGATTTGTTTCTTCCCCGCAACAGATTTTGAGAAATTTTGAATTACATCCCTTGCTCACCAATGGATCCTCTGCAGTGAATGGGTGCCGTCAGAATGAGAGTCCAAACAGTTGATAAAAACATCACAATAATCCACATGTAATCCACACGACTCCCATCCATCAATTAACATCTTCTTGAAGTCAAAAGCTGCATGTTTGTCAGAAACAAATCCATCAACACATTTTTAACTTAAAACAGTTTTTAACTTAAAACCATTGCTTTCTCCAATGAACAAGTCATCTTAGTTGAATCAGGAGAGAAATATGCATAGCTCAAGCATTATTTACAAGTGAAAACAGTCCAAATATGTTGGTGGATTTTGATGTGAGTGGACAACAGGGGATGGACTTTTTCCACTGGAGAAAGCATTATTATATCGGTCAGAAATGACGATTTAAAGGTAAAATGCCTTGATGGATATGTTTCTTACAAACGTGCAGCTTTTCACTTCATAAAATGTTAATTGATGGACTGAAACCGCGTTGTGGATTACTATTTTTTTTTTGTATCAGCAGTCTGGGGTCTTATTCTGACGGCACCCATTCACTGCAGAGGATCGATTGGTGAGCAAGTAATGGAATACTAAATTTCTCCAAATACATTCTGATGAAGAAACAAACTCATCTACATCTTGAAAAGAACAATTCCTTTAATTTTCAGCTTTTCTATAGATGAAGAAGGAAAACACATCACCCTACCTGCAGGTTTGGAGGTGACCGGTGAGGCTGGGTGCCGGACAGGGTTGGTCAACCTGGTCCTCCTCCTCCTGAAGAAACTCCGCAAGATGCCACACTTCAAAGACTCCACCAGAGTGCTCTTCCCTGCTCCTGAATGGCCGAACAGCTTGAGTTTGATGCGAGGTTGGAGGGTCTGTGTGGGCCGCAGCTGCTGGATGTAAATGCTCTTATGGTTGTCCTGTAAGACCAGTCACAAAGGGTATGCAAATTAACACAATCCAGTGGCATTACAATATGACATATGGACCAATGACAATGTTAATGTGTCTGAGAATGCTCAGTGCATCCTAATGAGTGTAATTAATAGGCTCTTAATAGCTAGTATTCAGAGTCCTCTAACTGAGCATAATCCACTTTTTGAAGCAAAATGCAAGACGCTAAATGCCATATATTAAATCATGTATGTGACCGTCAAATTAAAAGACTTCCAAAATCTAACGTCAAGTCTGTGGTTAATAGATAAACCGTACATCTCAACATTAGATCAAATCTGAGTGACTGAAGCATTAAAAAATGATGTAGACTGAAGGTCAAATTAGATGTGAAATATCTTAGAATATGGAAAATCTATTTTTAGTAACCTTGAAAATGTTTTCGCCACATCAAAGGACTACATAAGAGCTTCAAAACGCCATCTGTGACTTTAGTGGGATTAATTGGCAGATAGGATGCCATGTTTGAGAGGCTGCAAGCATCAGTTATAATAAATACCAATGTACTGATTGACTACCTTATTATTGAACCATCATATTTACATGTTATTCCATGGTATTTTAAAGAATACCACAGTACATATCCAAAAAACATAGTAAGAACATGACACTATACAGTGCAACAATGCCTATCCCCTTTTAGTTCTGAAAGTATCTTCCCATTCATTTTCACATGTGGCTTTCACAACATCTTACAAACTTTGATATCTACATGGAGTTGGATTTTGGACCAGTGGGGGTTACCCGGAATCACTAATAGCAGACCAATGGGTTAAAATATGCTCTGAACGTCAAATATTTATTTCAAAAATATCAAAATCAGCATACATCTCAGTGGGATAAGAGTCATTATTGAGTAAAACTGTCATGTCTTGCAGGTGTCATATAAAATACAACAAGGATCTCATAAGCCTTCACAAAGCATTCATGTAATGCAAATTAATCTCTCTTGAGTCTCAGTGAGATGAATAATAAACAAAGACTCACACCTTTTTCAGCTTGGCCAGCAGCACTGCTACATGCTCCTGCTGCTCTGCAATCGCGAGATCCTCTGCTGTCTTCCCATCCTGCGAGAGACAATGACAGTGATGGATAAACTGCAGCGCACAGAACATTACAGGCAATGCAGGGCCTGTCAGCGTCCAGTGACACGGATGAATGAGTAAAGCTAGATAAATAAAAGTCTGTCAGCCATTCATCTGCTCAGTATTACCAGACCACCGCACTAAAATAAAGCTCTGATAGATACAGAGAGAGAGTGTGTGTTTGCAGGGTAGGGTGTAAAAGAGAAAGTTAGAAGCTAACAAGAAAAAGTGAGAAAGAAAGAAGAGAGAGAATATCACCTAACAGCTCAACAGCGGGTACAGTGATGATTATGGCTGGCAGGTGTAATGCTGCCTTCAGGACATATCAGATGATTGTATATATGAAATGTGTGTATATAAAAGACCACAAAAATGAAATTATCAGTCCAAAAAATTATAAGTCAGAACAAGTGTGGCGTCCTGGCACACAGTCATTCACTCATTTGCAACAGTTTCATGGGATTGCATGTGATTCCCTTCTGCCTGACTGTGGCTCTTATTGAAAAAGAGTTGTGATATAGTGGGTAATATTTTCCTTCAATGGTTCACCCACCACCACTTACTTCTGCTGCAATCTGCCTGTCCGCCCATGGAAAAAGTCTCTTCAGCTGCTAGAAGCCTATTTAGCACCATACAGTTCAGGTGATGTCAATTACACCACAGAATAAAATATGGCCTGGCTCTTAATATGAGACCCTGCACCACAAAACCAGTCTTAAGTGTCAATTTTTCAAAATTGAGATTTATACATCATCTGAAAGCTGAATAAATAAGCTTTCCATTGATGTATGGTTTGTTAGGATAGGATTTGGCCGAGATACAACTATTTGAATATCTGGAATCTGAGTACAAAAAAATCTAAATATTGAGAAAATCGCCTTTAAAGTTGTCCAAATGAAGTCCTTAGCAATGCATATTACTAATCAAAAATTAAGTTTTGATATATTTACGGTAGGAAATTTACAAAATATCTTCATGGAACATGATCTTTACTTAATATCCTAATGATTTTTGGCATAAAATAAAAATAATTTTGGCGATTGCTACAAATATCCCCGTGCAAATTAAGATTGGTTTTGTGGTCCAGGGTCACATATATACCCACTGACCCAAAATTTGTGTTTTTTTCTAACATTAAATGTTTTAATATATTTAAAAATTTAATTAATACCTGTGATGACAAAGATGAATTTCAGCAATCATTACTCCAGTCTTCATTGTCAAATGATCCTTAAGAAATTCTAATATGCTGGTGCTCTAAAAACATGTCTTATTATTATCAGTGTTGAAAAACAGTTGTGCTGCTTAATATTTTTTGTGGCAACCATGTTATATGTTTTTTAAAGATTCTTTGATGAATACAAAGTTCAAAAGAACAGCATCTACTTGAAATAAAAATCTTTTTCAACACAATCAATGTCTTTACTGTCATGTTTTATCAATTGAATGTGTCCTTGGATTTAAAAAAAATAATGAATTCAATAATGAATTCAAAAGTAGTGTATTGTGCACTTTTTCATTTAAAAGTACTGCTATATGAACAAAAGTGTAATAACATTTGGTTAGCAAACACTTTAAACAAATAATGTGCATTTTTTACAGCAGTATTCCTTTTACATAGTAGCAGTTAAAATATGTATTGTAAATCTGAACTTACAACATTAATGTAATCAAATTAAATATAAAACCAAAGCTATTTGCCACTGACAGGGCATTAACGTTTTTATAGAAAATATTTTATAGCTTGTTATAGAAAAACAAGTTATGCTCAGAGCCCAGAGCCTCGATCATAACATTATAACAGGCTCCTTCTGAGTAGAGACCTGCACTATCATGGGATCTAACGCAGCAGAGTGCGGCGCGGGACAACACTAGACGGGTGAGTGCAGGTGGGTAGAGACTCCTGTGTGCGGGATGCGGGAGAATAAGGGTGTATCACACTAGGCAATCTTAACCATGCCTGAGCGTGTCTGACCCCCAAAGCCCGGTTCATTTGACTAGTGTGATCGCTCTGTGCAGCGGTTTGTTTAGCCGGCCCTGGCTCAGTTGGAAGAGGTGGCCCAGAGCGCGGTTCACTTGGGCTCGGTACGCATGTAGTGTGAGCGGAGCGTGGAACTTCTGATACGTACAACATGATTGCGTGAACATTTCTGAGCGGCAAAAGTGATAGATCTGTAAAGCAATCTATTGTGAGAGGGCCGTGTGTTACTGCATCCCAAACGACTCAAAATAATAAACCACAAAGTTAACAAAATGATGCACTCCACTGTGTTGAGCGAGAGCGCTTCTCTGCTGTCTTCACGTGCTATCGGAAACTGCCTGTTTCTCACTTATGAAGTCGTGAGCACTTCATGTGAGCGCTGCTGCAGTCTTAGGCCCACCCCAAATGCTCTC